GACCATGTGTGGAATTTGGGGGTTATTTTTCTTTTCCTCAGATGTTGCAGGAATGAATGGAATGTTGAATAGGATTGTGTAGAGGGTTTTTGATAGAAAGAAATAGAAAATAGTAGGGAGAGGGGAGAACAGAATTTCTTGTAAAAGAGAACAGAATGAGGAAAAGTAAAAGGGTGGAAATATGTGAAGCCCATTTAGGAAATAGTTCATATGGCATTGAAGAAACAAACAAGTACAGGAGAAGTGGGTGATGAAGGTAGAAGTTTGGTGGGGTAAAACCATGGAGGCTTTGAATACCCAGTGAATAAGTTTCCTTCAAAGTTTCTGAGCGTAGGAGTAAAATGTGCTCAGATATTGTGCTTTAAAAAGATCACTCTTTTCTTAATTATCTTGTAGCTTTAAAGAATATGTTTGCATGTGATCTGAATTGCATTATATAAATACTATAAGCAAGGTTTTCTTATGCTAAAATCCTTTCCATTATGTGGTCAATGTATTCATCAAGAACTAGATCACCAAGGAACAGAAACATAAATTGCATCTGTTCTCAGATGACAAGACTTCACTGGCTTAGCTGACAAGAAAATGAAGGTGAAATAGTACAATGTCTGTGGTAGGTAGTTCCTCCCACAACCTGGCCTAATAGACTTGGCTATCTTTTGGGAAAGTACCAAAAGAAAGAAGAGGCAGAGAGAATTTCCTTCACTTAAGGTGATTTTCTGTCCTGCAAAATGTAATTGTTCAGTCTAACCTAAAGTCCAAGTTACTAATTTCATATAGTCAGATTTACATTGCCACTGACTGACAAATGCAATCTGTTAATGGAAAAGGTTGAAGAAAAAGTATTGGCATGGTATGTTATCTCTTCAGGCATTACGTCTCTGTACAGGTCAGCTCTTAATGGAGAGGCTGATACCATGTTCACCTGTATATTGCCTCAGCAAGCTGTATTTGTCCCATACAAATATGTCCTATGGAGAGTTCTTTTAAGTTCCACACTAAATTGTTTTTTTATTTCTTTTACATTTTTCATTGTATTAACATTAATAGAGCAGTAGGATACATATGAAAAATCCAAAGCATTCAATGTTTACAAGCATTGAACATACTTTTTTCTTACTTTTATCTTAAATTTGATCTAAGAGCTGTCTGTATGTGTGTGTGTGTGTGTGTGTGTGTGTGTTGATATGTAGCATCCCAGTGAGAAGTGATGAATAGAGGAGGATTCATATATTCATACAGATATTTAAAACTTAAGAAATATTACTCAGGGTCAGACATGGTGGCTCACACCTGTAATCCTAGCAACTTAGGAGGCCGAGGCGGGAGGATCGCTTGAGCCCAGGAGTTTGAGACCAGCCTGGGCAAGAGTGATATCCCATTTCTACAAAAAGTAGAAAAATTGATGAGGGGTGATAAGACATGCTGGTAGTCCCAGATACTTGGGAGGCCGAGGCAGGAGGATCACTTGAGCCCAGGAGTTCGAGGTTGCAGTGAGCTATGAAGATGCCACTACACTCTAGCCCAGGCAACAGAGAAAGATCCTGTCTCAAAAAATGAAAGAAAGAAAGAAAGAAATATTACTCAGGGTCTAACCACAGAACTCAACATTAATCTTTGCCAGTAGCATATAGTGATATTTTATATAAAATTATAGGGTTAGGTTCCATGTTTCACATACTGACGCTTTATATGCTCAACTAGATTCTGGGTGCCCCGTGGAGAGTTTTGAGTCTTCTAATTATGTTATGCAATTTAAAATTTAATTGAGAAAAAATAGATTAAGTCAATTCTCAAGGTAGAAACTTAACAATTCCAGACAAGCTAGACCAAACACAATCTATTTAACTTCTCCTGCTAATCACAATAAAACACTCTAGACAAAATATATATGTCACCTAACAAATGACTCTAAGAGGTAGAGGAAAAAGATATATTGCTTAGGGGCCTCAGGACTTAAGGAATGACATGACAGTGAGTTCCATGGGTTTTTTTTTTTTTATCTCCTATATGTCTAAGCCTGGGTGGCAGAGAAGCCTTCAATGCAGCATCATGCCTCCCAAAGCAGCACTGAAGGAAAGCCAAAGAACTGGAAAAAAGGCAGCCTAACATAACACAAACCTTTTAAGTACACTAAATAGCTCTGGAAATGAATACCACAAAAAAAAGTAGTGCCCCTCCCCCACTCAAAGGATGATGCCATAAGAGGCAGTGAGAAACACCCTTGTGCCCCACTCTGTAGAGCCTATGGGCAGTCTGTGTCCTCCACTCCATCCCCACTTCAGTGAAGAGATGGCATTCCTTCCCTATGGGTTCTGTGGTTTGACTGGACTTCCAACTCCCATAAAGTAAATAGGAGATGCCCCTCCCATGCAGAGCCTGTGACTCTGACTTCCACTCCTCACTTCCACTCCACTTTCTACAGCAGCAAGGCTTGGGGGAAGGGTGTGAATATTAAGGGGTAATCCCAGGGAGTTTCTTTGTGGTGATGCAAGAGTTCTTTTTTTTTTTAATTTGATGTTGTTTATTTCTAAATCTTATTGAACTCAGAAAAAGTAGTCTTTTTTTCTTTCTTTCTTTCTTTCTTTTTTTAATCTAACACCTAGAAGACTGTTTATGCCTATGTAATTTATGATTTGTGTTAAGGTTAATATTGAGGACCTAAAAGCAAAAGATGCAAGAATTCTGTACTGTGATTATGGTGATCGTTACTCTAATCTACACATGGGATAGAACTTCACAGAAGTATAAACCCTCCCCACCAAAAACCAAACAAAAAACACCTCCAAAACTGGAGAAATCAGAATAAGAGCTATAGCTGAGTTAATAATACTACACCAAAGTCAATTCCTTAAAAAAAAAAGAGAGAGAAAATTATGTATGCATTGGTAAGTTTATATACTCATGTAACAGCATGTCAATTATTTAATTCTAACTTCCTTTAAATGTTTTCTTCCTGAACCTCTGGGCATCAAAAACCAAATTTTATATGTTATAAATGTGATAAAATTTTAAAAAAAAATTCTGGTTTTGCCACTGAAATAGATTTTCTAATACTATCACT